ATTTAGCAATCAATATTTCCCTATCTACTGTTTCAAAGGCTCTTTTAAAATCTAAAAATACAGCTAAAACAAAATTATCACAGTCAATGGCTTTGAGAAAATCATCACTGATACTAACAACAACAGACTCACAGGAGTGGTTTTCACGGAAACCTGATTGGTTAGAAACTATTATTTTATTATTGACGCAATAGTTAAGTAGCTGTTCTTTTACACATAATTCAATTACTTTTTCATAAATGGGAACTGTGTTAATTGGTCGAAACTCATTGTGACTTTTTGTATTTTGCACCTTGGGAACTGGAATCACTGTTGACAATTTCCATGACTCAGGAAAAACACCAGAACTAAGTGATGTATTAATGATGTCCAAAAAACGATCACCAACAGCATAAAAAACATCACAAAGGACTTGCTTAGATATGCCACTTTCATCGCCTCCTACATTTTTCAGATTTTTAATTATTTGCTTCATTTTTAACATAGATATTTTTTCAAAATTACAAAATAATTTACTATGTTCAGGGATCCTGTTTATATGGGGTATAACGTTTGCTGTTTGTGGTATACCTTGAATAATAGCATCAATACTTTCCACGAAATATTTATTAAATTTATGGGCTATGTTTGACTCTTCTTTGACTATTTCCGAATCAAAACTGATTTCGTCTGGTATGGTTTGTTTTTTTCCAGGTAATAGAGTTTTTAGGTTTTTCCAAAGTTCTTTAGGGTTATTCTTATTGTGGTCTATGGTTTCAACATAATATTTTTCCTTCTCCACTCGGATTTTATTTACAATGGTATTTCTTTTGGACTTATATTCATTCCAGGTGTTCTCATTTTTATCCATAATGGCCCTTGTATATAATAAATCCCTTTCCTGCATCATTTCCCTAATCTCCAATGTAATCCATTTTTTGTTCAAATATTTTTGTTTTTGGACAATTTTTACCCTAGGACACATGCTGTCTATAATGTTTTTGACATCTGTGATAAAAGAATTCGCTAGAAAATTTACATCAGAGATACTGTTGTTCCAGTCAATGTTAATTAACTCTTGCTGTAACCTGTCACAATTATAGTTTTTAAATGATCTTTTATAGCTTATAATATCGAGAGTTTGTTCTTTATGTTGATTAAGAGTAATTGACAGGATGGAATGGTCACTAATTTTAGGTGTAAGATGAACTTTATGTGGAAGATGTTTGTCATTGGTTACTATATAATCAATTAATGTCTGACTTCTGGATACTACCCTAGTTGGTGTTTTAACAATTTGGGTAAATCCATTTTTATATATAGTATTGATTATTTTATTGCCATAATAAGTCTGCTTCAGTAGGTCAAAGTTAAAATCTCCCATGATAACATTGATACCATTAAAATCACTGACTTGATCCAGATATTCATCAAAGAAATCTATAAATTTGGCATCGTATTTTTGAGGTGGATGGTACAATACAGAGCACAAGTACTTTGGACCAAACGAAGATAATTCAATAGACAATAACCACACATAATTATCAACACACTGTACAGTTTTAATTTTATATCCAACATCACACCTAATTAAAGCTATAACTCCTCCAGTTCTATTGTTGTTACTAGTACATTGTTCTAACTTGTAACCATCAATATTTAGTTCGTATGACTCAATTTCCGGTGATACGTGAGTCTCACTCAAGAACACGATCTTAGGCCTCCAATTATTAATTAATAAAGCAATATTATCTTTGTTGTTTAGATAACCCTGACAGTTAAAGTAAATAATGCTGGAGTTTAAAATAATATTTGTGTCTAATTGCTATTTTAGGTACTTACTCCTTTAAAACTCCTCAATTCTCTTATAGGATTCACATTTACTAACATCCCAAGTAACATGGACAACATCTAGATTGAGACCATACTTTTGATTAGACTCTACACAATTTGCACATTTAACAATATTCAAATTACACTCTTTAAAATCATGATCGCCACTACATTTAGCACATACCTTATTTTCTTTGCAATCTTTAACAATGTGACCATAACGACAACATCTAAAACATCTTCTTATACCATAATCATTAAAAACCCTACACCGATTCCATCCAATATTCATTCTCTCCTTTTCAATAAAGATTCCATACGTAGTGGCATCAACTTCCAGTACCATAGTGAACTTGCCATTTACAATTTTAGTTTTTCGTACAATATTAATTTTCTTGTCAGGTATGTTTTGTAAGTTGTTTTGACTTTCGATTTTCGACACAATCTCATTATCTGTAAGGGCATTTTCAGATTCACTTAAGCCTAGGCTTTAGCTGTAATTGTTGACAATAATTAAGTTTAAATTACCTATAGACCGCTTGATTTTTAAACAACATTTTGGTTGTATTCTGTCCAAGAAATTTAAAAAAAAATAATTGTAATAATATTAAGGCTTCATATTTCTGAAAGGTATTTGGCGGTAAAAATTATACAGGAACCTTATAAGGTGATTACTAATACCATAACTTTGGCAACGTCGCATAAGATCATAATACCGGTGCTGATAAAGGGCTGGTCGTTCGGTGGCAGCTGACACAGAAGAGTGCGCTTAGCTCCCCCGCTGGCTAATGCCTCTCTCAATGGACCCGGTGTTCGACCGACTAGTCCGATATTGTTTGTTGTTGTTTTGGTTGTGCGACGCTTTTTTCTTTCTACTGGGTTTGTCTACCTACCCGAATACCCTTATGTACTTATTTTGTTGAGCGCGTGCACCTTATTAGTGGGGCTAGTCTAATTTTGTTTTGTCTAATAAATAAATAAATTTTCAGTTTCACTTAATTTTGAATAGGTAGGTATTATTTTAACATTTGTAACAATAAAAAAAATATAAATATATAAATTAGTCAAGGGTAGGTTCATAGGTTTTTTCGAGGGTTTTTTATTTATTTCTTTGTGTTAGTTTTTTTTAATAAAAACCATAAATAACTAGCAAGTTCGTTAATACGCTAAACGTGTATTTCAATAATTTTAGATTGATTACCAACAGAAACTTATGTACTTATTTCTATTTATAATGTCAACTCTTGACATTTAGGCAATGCATAGGTACTTGACTATTACTTTTTTAAGTCAAGTTGGCACCGCATAACAAAAAAATTAAAATGTGGTAAAAAACTCGAGCCCAGTTACCGCTAATTTGTTAGCAAAGACAAACATGTATCGCCCAAAAAAATTATTAAAAATATCAGGGTGTTTGCTATCTTAAGGCTGCAATAGGGTTTTAAAGTGTCGAAAAAAAAACGAAAAATTGGGGAAAAACCTGTTTTTTTCCAGACTTGGCTTTTTAGGAAAAACTTGAATTTTTTTGTGGAAAATATACACATTTAAAAAAAGTCGCAATCTTATTTAAAAAAAAAATCCTTAATTACAAAAAAAAATAAAACTAAACATTAAATTAAATTTTAAAAAATAAACGTAAACGTGAAATATACTGTCTGTTGTTTTTTTGTTGCAAAAAGGAGTCCATTAAAAATATCTAACTACAAAATAATGAATGATTTATAAAGTTAAATTACAAAATTATAATTTTATAAATCAAAGTGTTAAATAAAAGTTATGTTAATATAGCAACGAATATGTTTTTTTGCGGCCCGGTAGAATATTCTTACCGAATTAAAATAAAAGGAATACTCACTATAATCATAATATTATATGATTATAATCAGCGTCGGAAATTCACTTTTTTCTCGATATCAGTGTACGGTTTTACCGAGGGTTTTACTATCCGTAAAAATTTGGAAATTTTCAAAAAAAATTGATTTGGATATTTTGGTATTAATACGAATACGGGTAATTACTTACCCTTTGAATAAAATTTAAACAAATAAAAAGTCAATTTTTCTGAAAAATTCTCATTTTTTCCTTTTTTTTTCGGAAAAAAACGGTTTTTTCCGCCGGCTCAATTTTTCCGGAAATTTTAAAACCCTAGGCTGCAACAAAGGAGGATTTTGAAATTTGGGATAAGGACCTGGATTTTAATTTCAAACAACTTTTCGAAATAACTTTTTGACATTTCTGTTATTAAAAAGCTACTTTCCTTACAAAATAAATTAAATTAAAAATCATAGTTGACCAAGGATTTTCAAATTTGGTACATGGGCTTAGATGGTAACTATTAATAAATTAATAAATTAATTTAATTGATGTCGAATTAAAATTTTATTTGATTTAAATAATAAATAATTATTTATTTCTTTTTCTATAAATTAGTACATATTTAAGTTTTTTTTATGAAAATAAAACTAATAATAATAGTTTTAGTTCTAAAAGTATTAAAAAAAAATATTGATTTAAATAATAAATAATTATTTATTTCTTTTTCTATAAATTAGTACATATTTTAGTTTTTTTTATGAAAATAAAACTAATAATAATAGTTTTAGTTCTAAAAGTATTAAAAAAAAATATTTTTTAAATTTTCTTTAAAAATCCAGCTGGATTAAAAACCATGGTGGATTGCAATCCCTATATATCCCTATTATGTTTATACATAATTGACCACTTTCTCCACTCGTTGCACAATATAGGTACTATAAATGTCAACCATTTTATAAAATGATTTTAGTGTGAAGTTTGACATATTTCCTTAAAATCTTTAAAACGAAGACACGCAACATTACGATAGACAAAAATGTTGTGAAGAGACCCAGTATCTACCCATTCTTCTTTTATTATTAAATTTAACCAGCGGCATACTAAAAAAATTCTACATGATCAGGAAAAAATAGTAACCGTCCAGTAAATTAAATAAATAAATAATTTATCAATTATATTTTAAAAGATAATAGGTAAAGGAACACCCTCGTGAAAACCTATAACTTTAACTTCGAAAAGAAAGGAAAATATATTAGAGTTTAGGTCAAAATAATTTTATCTTGTAAAAGCAGAAAAATAAAAAGCAAAAACGATCTTTACTTACCTTCATTAAAAATTGACACTATTTACCCCTTCTTTTTCTTTAATTCTAGCTCCAACAGACCGTCGTCACCTTCCAGCGTAGCCAGCGCCAACTCGGCCTCACCGGCCGCCCCCTCGATCAACAACTCGACCCCCAACCCGCCGCAACCGCCGCCCGTAAACAACAACAACAACGCAGCGGCCGTAGCCAACGCGCTAGGGAACGTACCGTCGGCCGCGCAGCAGCCTATGGTAAACTCGCGCAGGGTGCTGAGACCGCGCATCGAACCGCGCAGCTACGTCGAGAGTCCCGACGTGCTCATCAACGGCACCTTCGACAAACCGAGGACCAACGGGAATTTCGATTACAGCAGCGACTCGAGCGAGGGAGAGATGCCGCCGCTAGCGCCGATCAAGGAGCTGTCGCCCTCTGAGCTCAAGCAAAGGTAAGTTGATTAACATTAATGAGAAGTTGGCAAACCAGAGAAATATTGTTTTAATAGTGTTTAATATCAAAACATGAAACCAATCAAAGGCTTGTTTTTTAGCAATTATCGAAGTGTAATAAAAAATGATAAGATGTTAGAAAAAAACATTTCAGTGCCGAAATATGTGTTAACATCCAGGCTGGAACGAGTTTAGTTTTGGAAATAATAATTATTTAGGGAATAAAACTCCAGTGTTTTCTTAAAAAATGTTTGGTTAAATCAGCAAGTACCCACATTAATCCCAATCTGTTGGATTACACTTACTCGATGTATAGGTTTTTTTTTGTCATCAATAAAATCAAAATCTGGTAGCGTGACTGAATTCCTTCTAATAAATAACTTAAGAAAGCAAAATATTACAACCCTATTGAAAATTTGGATGACGCTCACAAAACAAGCATACACTCACAGGCAAAATAATCGATCCACACAAATTTTCGTTGAATTTCAATCGCAAATAACTTTTTTATTTGATGTCGGATTTAAACGAATATTAAAGAATATTGTAGATAAATTAACGGACAATCGCTCACATTTTAAAAAAATACTAAAAAATAGACGTACGTTTATAATATACAGGTTTAAACAAAAAGATGTTTTTTACCATAAGTTTAAGGCACTCTGTAGAGTGGCAAAACCGTATATTGTTCTAAATTAAGTCTTATTTATCAAGTCACATCTATTCTTAACAGTTTTGTTTTTGGTTCACCTCAATATATTTGTTTTTGTGGAAAATATGAATTTTTTAGAAAAACATTGCAATTTCCAATATTTTTCTGTATGAAGAACTAAGGTTGCTATGGTCCATCCATAGGCTATGGAGAATGACAGTGACAGTTTTGTTGTCATCCCATACTTGGACATGTCATACACGGCTTTCAAAAGCTATCAAATTGTTTTTTGCAAACGAATGTTTAAATTTTGAGGTGTCTTCTTACTTTAAAAAATGGTTATGTCTCCGACTGATGTTGCCAGAGCCATTAATTTAATCCAGGATGGACGGTCACAGTATTACGTGGCAAGTGTTTTTAACGTCACAAGAAGTAAAGTACAAAGGGCAACATCAGTCGGAGACATTTTTAAAAATAAGAAGACACCTCAAAATTAACACATTCATTTACAAAAAACAATTTGATACCTTTTGAAAGCTGTATATGACATGTCCAAGTATGGGATGATTCAACAAAACTGTCACTGTCATCCCCATAGGCTATGGATGGACCATAGCAACCTTAGTTCTTCATATAGGAAAAATTTCGGAAATTGCAATGTTTAAAAAAAAATCATATTTTCCACAAAAATAAATATATGAAGGTGAACCAAAAACAAAACTGTTAAAAATAGGTGTGACTTGATAATTAAAACTTAATTTAGAACAATATACGGTTTTGCCACTCTACAGAGTGTCTTAAACTTATGGTAAAAAACATATTTTTGTTTAAACCTGTAGATTATAAACGTACGTGCATTTTTAAGTAATTTTTAAAATGTGAGCGATTCTCTATTAATGTATCTACAATATTCCTTAATATTTGTTTAAATTCGAAATAAAATAAAAAAGTTATTTGCGATTGAAATTCATCGAAAATTTGCGTGGATCGATTATAATTATAATTATAAATAATTATTTTGCCTGTGAGTGTAGAGTTAACTTAAAAAAATTGATTTTGCATCTACATCTCCAAAAGCGTAAATAATCCACAAATGGGTTATAAAAAGGGTAACATTTTTTGAGTGTCGAAAAAAAAACGGAAAAATTAAAAAAAAACTGTTTTCCGTTTTTTTCCAGGCCTTGGAAAAATTAACTTTTTTTGGGAAAAAATGATTTCTTTTTGGAATTATACCTACCTACACATTTGAAATAAAGTACCAATCAACAACTTTTAATTTAATTTAAAAAAATATCCTTATTGGAAAAAAAAGTAAACATTGAATTAAATTAAATTGATTTAAGAAAATAAAGGTAAAATATACTGTCGGTTGGGTATTTTTTGTAAAAAGGAGTCCATTGAAAACAGGGTTCGCCTTAATCACGATTTAAATCAAGGGATTTTTAAAATTTTAATCAATGATTTAAATCCACAGTGTTTAAATCAGTTTTAAAAAAAAATTCTGAAATCTAAAAAACACTTAAAAGATCTAAAACTAAAGCACAATAATATCTTGACACTATTTAAATAAATTCATATGCATAGAAATACTGCTTATTTTGTTAAATAAAATAATAAAGGAATATACAAAAAAATATATGACATTTGCGGACCGTGGTTTATTTGTTTATAATATTATTATATTACTTATATAAGATATTTTTAATATTTTTTACACTTTATTAAAAAAGCTTATAATTTTGAAAAATCGTAATAAAAATTTAAAAAAATCAAAAAAATAACTATTTGTTAATTTTTTAAATAAAAATCATTGATTTTTGATTTTTTTTTAAATCATGATTTTTTCGAACCCTGGTTGAAAATTTATAATTTAAATTTTAATTTATAAAGTTAAATTACAAAATTATAATTTTATAAATCGAAGTGTCAAATAAAACGAAAGTGATGTTAATAAGCACCGAATATGTTTTTTGCGACCCGGTAGAATATTCTTACTAATAAAATAAAAGGAATAATTATTATAATTATAATATTATGATTATATTCTCGATATCAGTGTACAGATAGTATCCGTATAACTTTCTAAATTTTCATAAAAATTGACTTACATTTTTTGCCCTTTGAATACAATGAAAAAAAGCAGAAGTCAATAATAATAATAAGCTAAAATTGTAGCAAATTAAAAAAAAAACATAAAAAGTTATAAATCAAGTTTTATTAAGATCTACATGAGTTTATATTTGTGCTAATTTACACTTGGAAAACGATTCTGTAAATACATCTTCATTTTTATATTTTATTTATAAATGTAATTAGATCAAGAGCAAAAATAGAATCTGAATATTTTACGAAAGTGGAATGCATCTTTATGTAATGGTAGAAGATAAATTAAATTAATTAAAATATATTGCAATAATAGAAACAATAGAAAATATAATAATATTAATGTTGTTGTGCCCTTTTTAAATAATAACTATTTCTAATTACATATATATCCCTATACAATTTTATAATCAATTCACTACTGACAATTAAGTGTAATTGTGCAACAAGCTTGTGGTGCAATCATTTTGTAAACTTGTCTTTTGTTAAAAAACTATTAATTATTTATTTACAACACTTGATAATAATGATAATATTTGAATAATTATCAAATAAAAATGTTTGTGTCTTGAAATTTTTTATAAATTTGTTTTAAAACATAAATATTTGCCTCGTAATTATCGAAGCGATAAAGTTAAATATCGTTCTAATTATAATAATAAATAAAATAGGTGTACTTGTACTTATGCTTAACCTACTACTAAAAATAAATTCACTAAAAATATTTTTTTTTATTTTAAAATTAACTTACAAAATAAAATTAGAAATTGCAGATATTTGCACAACAATGGGGTAGTTAAATTTTTTCTGACCTATACTTTTTATGGTTTTATTCAAGGCGTTTTGTAATTTTAAACATTTCCGTGAAATCGGAATTTCAATTGAGTTTACCGTTTTCGAGATATTTACAAAAAAAAAATCTCCTAATTACGTCACTAGGCTATTGACAACGTTGCCAGCTTTTTCTATGGTTGCCAGTGTGTTTAGTTTAAGATTCTTACGATAGATGGCGCCACGTTATAATATTTTAGTTTTAAAACCACTTGATCTATAATTTTAGTTGAGAAGAAGAAGAAGAATTGATTTTTTGACGTTTCTTTTTTTCGGGTTATGTTTTTTTAAATTTAGATTATTGAAAATCAATCTTATTGTTATGTTATTTGTAATTGATATTAGATAAGTGATTTATTAACACGTTGATGGACACAGACAAATTTTTGGCGGGCCTTGCTGCGTCACTTAAATAATTCGTACACCTGTTTGCTAGAAAATTGCGACTGCTACAGCCGTAGTGTCATATTGGGCCCGACGGCATTTGCAGTCCTGTCCATGAACGTGTTAATAACGGACCAAAGCAGAGGAATCTTGTGGAATGGTTGGTTACATTGAACATTGGAGCTTTTAAACAAATAAAGAAAGTACCTATAATTATAATCATATTTTGTCATAAATGCATTTCATTAGTATAATGCCTAGTTCTTTATATTCTTTTAGATATATCTTAAAATGTACTCTAGAGTGTAGTATCTTCGAACAGTCCAAAAGTTTGTCATACATTTTTTTAATCTTACAAAAGGTTTTTATGCTCATCATCAGGGATGGAAGTTTTATAAAAACTATACACAAATATCATAAATACCATTGTTAACTTACATTTACTGTTATTTTTTGTAAATTTATTTCATTCATTTTCAGCTTTATTTTGCCACTTTTTTCTATGAAATATATTAAACTCTGCTTTAGACAGTTATTAGGTACCTATTTATTACATTTTATTAGGTTTCACACGGTGTTTCAATGTGTAAACCTATCAATAAAACTTTTAATTTCAGAATTTTCTTTAACCTCCTCTTCTTCTTCTTCTTCAACTTTGGGCGGACTTACGGCTCAACCACCGCCCTTATGGTCCTGGACAAAAGTCCTTATTAACCAGGTACAAGTTTTAACGTCCAATGGTTCCAGAAGACCCAAAAACCATTGGACAACGGTTGTCTATTAAACACGTGGACGACACAATTAGGTTATGTAACCTTAAAATTTATAATAGCTTTATATAAATTCCTCTATTCCTTTTAAAAAGGACAAAACGAGGAATATTATCTAGCACTGGAATCCGATTCTGTCTTCCCTGAGTCAAAGTCAACTATTTTTCACACTTTTTCATGGAGCAATGCAGGAGCGATGTGCTTCTCACCGAGGACAAAATCGAACTTTTTAACCTCCTCTTCTTCTTCTTTCACTCAACTGACAGTGACAGTATTTGTACATAACCTCTTCGGGTATTTTCTGACATAACCGAATGAAATCATTAACAAGACAACTTGACAACAGGGTAATTTTCAACCAATAGAAATCTTAGAATGTTGGTCACATGGCGAGGTTTGTGACGTCATACAAATTTATATTTTTTGTAAATATCTCGAAAACGGTAAACTCAATTGAAATTCTGATTTCACAGAAATGTTTAATATTACAAAACGCCTTTGTGACGTCATAAAAATTTATATTTTTTGTAAATATCTCGAAAACGGTAAACTTAATTGAAATTCTGATTTCACAGAAATGTTTAATATTAAAAAACGCCTTGAATAAAACTATAAAAAGTATAGGTCAGAAAAAATTTAACTACCCCATTATTACCGCCCCAGATTTGTTCTGGTAAATATTATTTTTCTTCTTAGGGACCGCGGCTTGAGACGGTTGCGCGAAGAGCTGCGCGCCGAAGAAATGAAACTCGTCCTCCTGAAAAAGCTGAAGCAATCGCAGCAGCTCAAGGAAAACGTCGCGGTGTTGCCGCCCAGCATACCGCAGTCGGCGTTGCCGCCTACGGGGCTCCCCAGCGGCCTGAGCATCACGCCGACGACGGTGAAGGTGCCGCCCCCCGGAGCCAAGCAACCGCAAGCTGCGCACTCGCGGCACTCGTCGTCTGCGCAGCCGCAAGCGGCGCACAAGCCCGGACAGGGTAGTGTATCAACCCTTTTAAGAGGGGTGAGTTTGTATCTTTTTATTTTATTGTTTTCAATCCGCTTATCATATAGGTATACAGGGCACGGTTGAGTTTTTGTCCACTTTGGTTGATTTCGTCCATGACGTGGTCAAAATTGAACAAAACCGGACAAAATCGTGCAATGAATCAAACCTTCTGAAAAAATAATATTATTTCTATATTATATTTTTGACAGATTGACAACAAAAGCTAATATTATTATAATAAGCTAATATTATTATTTTAATAATATAGCAAGTTTTGCTGGTTTGTTGTAGGTATAATATTATTACACTGAAAAAAAAGGTGCCCTTAAACTAGAGATGCGACTTGAAAAAAAACGCTCCGTTTTTTTTGTTTTTTTTTAGGTTTTTTTCATTGTTTTTTTTTCAAATGGTTTTTTTTTTTCACATGTTTGGTTTTTTTTTCAAGATTAGTCCCATTTGCCTAATTTTTTATGTTTCCATGGACTAAAATTAGCCACTACATGACAATTATTAAATTTAAATACAGTCTCGCGTTATGCACTCGCCACAACCACCGATTTGACAAATAAGGGCCGCGCTTGTTTTGATTTGGTCCTAAAAAAAGTAACTAATATTTTTGATTAAGCGCTTGATTTTTCAAAAAGCTACCAAAAGTACTTTTTTTCATGATTTTTCAAATTTATGTAGAGTATGGACATTTTTTTTTCAAAAAACAATAGCAAATTCTTGTAGAACATTTCTTCATTGGTGGTCAGAACATTCCGTGGACCAAAAAAGAAATAAAAAAAAATCGATTTTTTTATTACGGTATTCGTTACGTTTTTCATCTAAAAATCTCAAAACTATAAACTTCAAGCTTCAAATTGCTTTTTTTACGGCTCCAATACGACCATTTTCAACAAATATACAGCATTCCGAAAAATCGCAAAAAAAAATTATCCTTTAATTTTTTGTATTAGTGTAGAAGTTTTACATTGCTATTGGTTTTTAATGTGGAAACTACCAAATAGGAAATCAGAAATCAGATTTTTTAGTCTTGGTCAAAATTTTCAATAATAAAAAATGTAATATATTCTACATTTAACTCAAAATTTCATTTTGAAAAAAACAAAAAAATACGACCATTTTCAACAAATATACAGCATTCCGAAAAATCGCAAAAAAAAATTTATCCTTTAATTTTTTGTATTAGTGTAGAAGTTTTACATTGCTATTGGTTTTTAATGTGGAAACTACCAAATAGGAAATCAGAAATCAGATTTTTTAGTCTTGGTCAAAATTTTCAATAATAAAAAATGTAATAAGTTCTACATTTTACTCAAAATTTCATTTTGAAAAAAAAAAACAAAAAAAACCGTTTTTTTTTTAGGTTTTTTTCATGTTTTTTTTCACATCTGAAAAAAACCGTTTTTTTACATCTCTACCTTAAACTAAACTCACTTGATAAAAAATTATTAGCGGCAAGAAACAATATTTTAGCATAAAAAAATATTTATTGCTTGAAGAAAAAAGTTCTTAGTGGAAGAAGTATAGTTCTCCAGAAAACAAATACAAAATCTCTTTCAACCAAGTGCAAAGTGTTTTTGTTCAAAAGCTATGAAAATTATTTATATTTACGCAATTCATTCAAGATACATTACAATTATCCCAGTAGCATGTCAATTTTCTTACAAAATCAATATTGGACAAATCAGATTATCAAATTTTATTCTATTTTATATTTTATTAAATAACTTACTGAAAATAATTATTTTTATTACTAATGCAATTTACATATGGGGTATTTCATGCCAAATCCACCACTTTTGAACCCGACCCCTTTCGATCTGAAAAACATTTTTGAAAATTTTTTCAAATTTTTTTATCCAACCCAAAAAGTTTTAATTTAAAAAAAAATAGGTTTTTTATTTTCAAATGGCCATAACTTTTTCAAAAATTGACCTTTTGGTATCTTTTTTTTTTGAAATTTTTGTTTTTAAATGAATTTTTTGAAAAAATAGACAAAAAAAATTTGACATGATCAACTCTATGACATTATCTCTTTTTTTAATAAAATCGTTATTTTTGCGAAGTTCGCCATTTTTTATTTTTTATATTTATTTCTCAAAAAAAACTTCAATTAATGTTACAATTATTCCCGCCAATCCCACAGTGGGCCGTTTTTTTCCTATTTTTTTTATTTAATTGAAAAAAAATTGTTTAATTTTCAAAAATGAAATTTATAGGCTTTGCATTTTATTTGTTATTACCTACTACTATTATAGTATAGTTGGTATACAGTAGGTAACCTACTACTTATTAAATGTAGGTAAATTATCACAAAAACTCTAAACTAGGTAGGGTTTTAAATAAAAGTTAAATGTATTTTATTTTATACTAAAATACTTTATAAGCGATTAACAATCCATATGAACCTTTTAACTCCAATTCTTTAAACACTGTAAAACAACACGGAACTGTTTTCACAGTCGCTCAAATCTGTCAAACTTTCCTTGAGAACTTTACTATTTAAACTAATTTCTCGCTAAAACAATTGAATTAATGAATTTGTGGTTGTTTTTTTATTTAATCTGAAGCGCAGCTCCGAACGCCATATTTTCAAATTAATCCAAAGTTGTACGAATTTTGATTTTTCGGCTGTTCCTTTCGGTTTTTTCCTTATGTATTTATTTAAATCACCCCTATATTGAGGATGAATAAATGAATTTGTGGTTATGTTTTTTCATTTAATTTGAAGCGCAGCTACGAACGCCATCTATTTAAATTAATCCAAAGTTTTTCCCTTCGGTTTTTCATAATGTATTTTTAATTTAAATCACCACTGAATTGAGGCGAACTAAACAAAAAAAATATTTAAATCGCTTGAGCCATTTCCAAGTTTTGTAGGACTAACGCACGGCGATTAATTTTTATATATACAGATAGATAGATTGTTGACTTAGTTCAGCAACAAAATGTTTAAGTTGTTTTTAACACCCTTATATAATTATAATAAGGTTTTTTAAATTTCATTTATGTTTAATTGATTTTGTCCAGAACAATTGATTTTGTCCGGACGAAGATAATTGGACAAAATCGTCCAATTATGTCCACTTGGACGAATTCAACCAGTCTTTTAACTTGAAACTTTGAAATATCTCAGTAAATAGGCATTTTACAAAAAAAAAAGGGGGGGAATTAATTAATACCAAAATTATTCCCCATACTCTCATCCTTATAGGAAGGGCATGGGGTATCTTTAAAATTTTCAATGGAACACCATATTTTTTATTGCAGATTCGGATCATTCGACTTAAAATAGTTGATTTTGTCTAAAAACATTTTTTTACATTTGTAAAAAAGGCGCTTTAATAAAACAATCAGTTTTGTTCGATTTTTCCTCTGTATACCATTCTGCAATAATTTGTCACTTTTCCATTGAAAACAATAATCTTATTAAATTAAATCTGATTTTTTTCCATAAAGTACGATTTTTTTACTAATATATAAGTTTTCTAAAGTTAAAGTTTTATACATTATTTCATTTAATCAAGGTTAATCAGTTTTACATTTAAAACTATATATATTTTTTTATTCTTGTATGTTATTTTTTGTTATCCTTATGTTGAGACTAAAAAGAGTACGGCTCCAAGGCGCAATTGGCTACTTTTTTCCTAGGGTGCAAAAAAACTAAATAACATTTTAATTAAAAACAACTAAAATAAATTTTACATAGTTCAAAGATTAATTTGCAAACAAAAAGGCCTGTTTTCGTTGAGCAGTTAGGTATTCATAATGGATTTTTTAACAGTTCCACTGAGTGGAAGAAAAAATAGAAATGGCTTTGATTTATGGAGAAGCAGGCAGAAATCTTGATGATGCTGTTAATATCTACGCTCAGCGTATAGAAAAATTATTGCAGAATCGTATACAGTAGAAAAATTGATTTTTTTATTACAGCGCCATTTATTACAAATATAAAAAAATGTTTAAGACAAAATCTACCTATTTTTAGTCGAATGATCCGAATATGCAATAAAAAATAGGGTGTTCCATTGAAAGTTACCCCATGCCCTCCTTTTAAGGATGAGAGATGGGGAATAATTTTGGTACTAATTAATTTCCCCCCTCGAATCATTTAACTTTTATTTCAAAAATTTTTCTCGTAAAATGCCTATTTACCGAGATATTTTAAAGTTTCAAGTTAAAAGACTCACCCTGTATAAATAATTATAATTTTAATGTCTTAAAGAAAGTCCTGAATAGTCCAGCCAATCAGATGTCCCAAAGTAAATTGTTTCTTGAGGAGAGGATTTGATACTAATTATTGTTAGAACAAAGTTGACAAATATATTTTTAGTTAACAAATTTTTTTCCATGAACAACTGTTTAAAAAAGTTTTAAAAAAACATTAAAAACTGACTTTTGAATAAAGTCAAACCTTTCTTTCTCCAATATTTTGGTCATAAATTGCCACATAAATACTTAATTTTTTAAAAAATGTTAAGTTCAAGCAATGATAATATTTTATTTTACGCTTATTTACATAAAAATGACCTAAATCTACAATCTTATTAAATCACATAACCCTGATGTAAAATAAATCTATTTACAAATAAAATTTTCAATAACAAATTTCATATCAACGTCGCAAATAAATAAATTTATCTTTCTTCTCGATCTGCCACAATGGAATTAAAAATAGTTCGCACTCTTTTTTCATTTGCCTTGGAATTCTTCCAATTGGCTAATTTTGATGTTATTTTTTATTTAAATAAGAATTCGATTGCATGTCAACGTTACACGAGGATTAAAATAGAACATCTTTAAAAAAATATTTTTTGAGCCACAAAAACCGTTATAATAACTGCAAATTACGGAAAATTATTTTAGCATTTTAATTCTTCAATATGCAAGTGTCTTATTACAAGCCTCTCTGTTTCGTAAAGTAAGGTTAATGTCAGTGATTTTAGCGGTAAATGGTCTCTTATTAACAATTTAAACAAACCCTGTGGGGTTAAGTTTTTAGTTATTTC